CGTAGGGAAAGGGCGTCGGTGACCCTGCCAATCCTACGTAGGGGTAGTGGAGCGAGGTCACGAGAGGTCATACGATTCCGAGCCCTTCGGGCGCCCTGCAGGGGAGGAGGGAGTAGGAAGGGGGATGCGGCGGAACAGGGCAGGGCAGGGCAGGGTAGGCAGGCAGGTACGGGAGAGCCTGGTGTAGAGATCAAGGTGCGCGGAGAGAGTGCGGTTGCCCAGGAGAGGAGGATGCGAGGTCGGGTGCGTGAGACAGGAAGCGCGGGTGGTGTGCGTACGCCGCGTGTGGCCCGCACGCGTGTCTGCACGCAGCGTGTACGCGACGTCGACGTCGACGTTGGCAGCATCGGCGGCCGTGGGGGTCGATCGATGCGGCGAGACGCCGGGCGTCGCACTTTCCGCAGACCACTTCGCTCTCCAATCTACGCTACGCCATCACCAACCACCGCCGTCGCCACCCGCGATACCACCATGTACAACGATATCGATACGCCCGCTCTTCGGTACTTGAAGAGTTTTATAGCCACGCTTCCCGGGCGCGCCGATCGGTTCTTTTTCTTTTTTTTTCTTTTAGAAAAAATATTCAATTGTACATGGAATCGTATATTAATGCTGCGCAGCGATACGCCAGTTGATTAATAAATATTCAAAGTAATTGGTAAAATATAAAGAGATAATGATAATAATAGAGTAATAAATATAGTATAAGGAAAAATAAAATAAGAATGCATCTCTCTTTCTCTCTGAAAAAAGCTCTTTCCGCAAAATTATTCGAAGAAAGCTCAAACTATCATTATGATTTTGCAATTTTTATAATTCAAGCAACTCGTTTTATATACATTTTACGCGGCGTGCCTACTGCAGAAAAGTAAATGTTATTAAATTACATCGACTTGAGCGGAACTCTCGCTAAAACTCCGCGCGTAGGGGCGCGCGGAATCGTAGGGCCGGCCTTGTACAGTCGAAATACAGCCGGCGGCGAAGTCGATGGCACCGACACTGGATGCAGAAGGATGGATAAAGGGAGGAAGAGAGGGAGGGAGGGAAGAGGGAAAGCGTCTCGCTCGCGGAAAAGCCGGCGGGACTGTGAAAGCACCCCCGGTCGACCGACCGACACACCACGACGGCACACAGTACGTCGACCCTCGACCAACCAACCAACCTCCCGACGCACCACCACCACCATTTCCCCTGTCCGCTTTTCCTCCTGCTCATCCCCCCCTCCCTCCCCCTTCCCCCGTACTACTACCTACGGTGTAGTAGCGCCGCGATGCCCGCCCGACACCGTCGACGCTCGCTCAGCATCAATGAAAATGACGTCACGGCAAAAAGCGCCGCGTTTAATTATCAACGCTACGCTTCGCGCCGTGACGAGCGCGGACGTCGCGCGCATGTGTTTGCGCGCGCGTGTATGTCGTGTTTGTCGTGCGTGTCGTGGGCGAGGAATTGGCACGAGAGGATGAGGGGAGGAAAGAGAAAGAGAGAAGGGGGAGAGGGAGAAAGAGAGACGCGATTCCGCCGCTTGCGAGAAAATCGATCGCGATCTCAGACACGCGAGAATGATACACCCAATTAGCTGAAAGAAATAACGATAAGAGAGTAACGCAAATGCTAAAATATCCGCATGGTAAATTTAGATACAAGATTGTCAAGATCGTTCACTTGTCAGTTGGAATACGGTTTTCGCGACGGGTGAGCGAATCTGTTTTTTTTTTTTTTCTTCTCCAACGATCCGGGAGACTTCGCGTTTAGCGTTAACGTGTCGCGCGAGGCTTTTTATACGGCCTTCCGGCGGTTCAACGGCCAAGAACGATCGTATCGTCGACAATTGGTCGCAAACGTACGCCGAGACACGAGGCCTTTCCTCATCGTCGTCGTCGTCGTCGTCGTCGTCGTCATCTTCGTCGCGAAACCGCGGAGGCGTACCGCTCGAGCTCTCCTATTCCTAATTCGGTTATCCTTTCGATTTCGACGGGCGGAAGGATGACGTCATTGCCGTCCTTACTTTGGACCGAGCCAAGGTTAAACGAGAGAACGAGCAGAAAATATTGCATATACCGATATTATATACTCACTAAAATCGATGAGGAGCCGGCCGTAGCCCTGTCTCTGATAAGGCGGTAGCGTCAGGATGCAGGACACGTTGTAATTCAGGAAAGAGTTTTTCTCCTGAAATGGAAAGAGGAATCCGGTCATTGCGTGCGTTCGTACATATATTTAGTTGCAATTATATTGAATGTACTTTGGATGGTTTGATCGCTCTTCTCTCGGAAAATCTTACAAAATATCGATTATCGTTACGAGGTCCAAAACAAAGCTAATGTCGCAAACTCTACATGAATTTCGATATTAGCGAGATAAGATTGTATTCCATTTCGCATGCTTCGTGGAAGTGAAACTTATATAAACGCGCGCTCGCTCAATTAAAAATGTGCGATCGATGATATTCCGTTCATCGTCATCAAGCGCACCAGATATACATTCCGCGAAATTTTAACGTTAATGCAATGATGGTTGACATTCACCATACTTTCGTAATGAAGAAGCTAAGTGCAGGTGACGGTATTATTGCTATGTAAAATAAATTGTGTAATATATACATATATGCCAGATATGTATTATTGATCCTTCCTATTCGTCACGTAGCTCGAAAAATTAATCGGAGATCATCGCGAACCACCTGGGACATTCCTCTTAAAAGACCGTATCAATATTTTAGCGTCATAACTCGGAGAGTTCGCGGAGATCATCGTAAAAGAGTCACGCCTGGAAGAGGAAAGACCGCCACGCAATTCCGAAAGTCACATTCGAAAATAGAGCAAGCCAGGCTCTATTTTTGATTTATAAAAAGCGAGGTTTTCGTATTTTTAACCGCGATCGCGGTGGGCGGTGCTTGCACATCGGGCCGTGCTCGCAGATTAGATAAATCCCTTTCCGGGGATTACGCCGGTATCGACTTTGAGCTAATCGTTTATTATGAAAGTGACATTAAGTCAAACTTTTAAGAAATTCGCTAAAAAAATATGTATACATATATATGTCACATACTATTTCGTGCTTGAACTCTTCGCGAATCCGAGATCTTATTTATCGTGCTTGCAAAATAAATGTATGTGTAAGACGTTATTAAATCACCGACTATCTCACGCGAGTTCTTTTAACCAAAATTAATTAATTAATTATCTTTTAATGATTTTGTATAATCATAATTTTTTTTTGCGTTTGTTATGTTAGTTGATATCTGAAAGGTGGAGGGAAGGAGGGGGGTTTCTGTTCTCGAAAAAAATTTCTAGTCGCACTTTACGGTACCAAGAGCGAAAAATCGTGAATGTGTCATCCAACCGTTAATTTCGATAGATGGCCGAGAGGAAACATACATCGCGTTGCGATGACACCCAGTACATTGTAAACGCATGAAAAATCGACGTCGGCAGAGACGTTTAATTCAACCAGCGCGACACGACTTCTACAAAGACATTTTCGCAAACGAGCCTGGCGTTTGAATTCCACTGAATATTAATAATTTTTAGCGCTCGACAGAAATTATTATGTCTAATGCATTTTCCACAAATGTCGTGACAGATATTGCGATCGTTCAATGGACTAACCGTTCTGTTCAGCGAACAAGAGATCAAGAGAAATTAAAATCTCTTTATCTCTCTATTTCATCGATGTTCGCCGTAACAAAGGGACTTTAATCTCTCGGGCAGAATGACGACTAACGTTCCGGGAACTATCATTTTTCGTCAAGTATCGCGAGAATCCACGGTAAGTGAAAAGAGAAAGAGAAAAAGAGAGAAAAGGAGGATATATTATGGAACCGCAGGTATTTCTCGAAAATAAATTCGCATTCGAGCGACGTGTTCAACGTGCGGTCTCTGAAAAATCAAGACTCATCGTGCACCTGGCGCACAATCTTCTCTCTCCGCATATACGGAGATTCGTGTAAAATTGCGAAAATAACCGTAATTCTCGAAACGAGCGGGGGAAGAAGAAACGCACTCGTGAAAAGAGAATTAATATAAATCGGTTATTAAATTTTTTTTTTTTTTTGCGCCGCGCAGATAACGTTCTGTTCAGCGAACAAGAGATCAAGAGAAATTAAAATCTCTTTATCTCTCTATTTCATCGATGTTCGCCGTAACAAAGGGACTTTAATCTCTCGGGCAGAATGACGACTAACGTTCCGGGAACTATCATTTTTCGTCAAGTATCGCGAGAATCCACGGTAAGTGAAAAGAGAAAGAGAAAAAGAGAGAAAAGGAGGATATATTATGGAACCGCAGGTATTTCTCGAAAATAAATTCGCATTCGAGCGACGTGTTCAACGTGCGGTCTCTGAAAAATCAAGACTCATCGTGCACCTGGCGCACAATCTTCTCTCTCCGCATATACGGAGATTCGTGTAAAATTGCGAAAATAACCGTAATTCTCGAAACGAGCGGGGGAAGAAGAAACGCACTCGTGAAAAGAAAATTAATATAAATCGGTTATTAAATTTTTTTTTTTTTTTTGCGCCGCGCAGATAACGATTTTCTTCTCTTGTAGCGCTCGCTCGTGTCCCGCGAATCCGTAGCGCTTCGAACAGAATCCGTCTCGACGTAATATTCGGACACCCGGTATTTCCGGCCGTGTGGCGGCCGTACTGTTGCTAACTGCCGAGCCAGCAACGGTCCGAAGGACACGAACCGCGTTCGTTGTGTGCGTGTACGCGTAGTGTCGGCCCACGTGTGCGTATCGGCGCGTCAACTTGGCGAAGAAGAGAGGAGAGATAGAAATATATGTAGGAGATAGATATAAAGAGAGAGAGAGAGAGAGAGAGAGAGAGACAGACAGAGAAAGAGAGAGAAAGGAGAAGATAGGCGTGTAGAGACGGAAAAGAAAGGGGAAGTTTGGGCCCCAAGAGAGCAACCGTCCGAGGAACCCGTCTCCGCCGGAGGGGAAACCAACCGTTAGAAGGATCTAAGGGCGAAATACGGAGAATTTCTACATCGGAGTATTCTCTGGATGCTAAGGATATTCGGAAAGTATGGATACTTTAACAACGGAGACTGTTGGACGCAGCGGACGGCGGACGTACCGGAGTTCAGGACCAGAGATTTAGTATAAGAGAATGTGACCATTTGACGGTCAGTGGAATTAGTGAGACAAATCGACGGGTATGAAAATGAGTCAGCATGCCAGTTCTTAAAAGCCGAGGGTCGTTCTCCGACTCCATTCCCCCGCCATTCCTACAAGAGATATAAAATATACAAGGTGTCCTAAAATCATCGCCCTCGATAAAAACGTCGAAAATTCAATTATTATACAAAGTTTGCAATTTTCCCAGAAAACATTACATCCAATACTTTATTATTTTCATTACAATCAAACAAACTTCAATTTTAATCAAGCTTACTGTTACGAGACTAAATAAGGAAGGGAATCATTGAGCTCTATGATTGTGGATAAAAAAATGCTTCGCGAGTCCCGCAGAATAAAAAGCATAGATGGTCAAGAAAAGGAGGGAGAAAAAAAAAACGAAAAAAGAAGAAATAAGGTAGCAGAGAGAAAGAGAGAGAGAGAGAGAGAGAGAGAGAATCTGGGGCCCGCGACGTCCTTGGGCCCGGTAATCTCTGCGCTGCTCTCAGGGCCGTCTCGCTGTCCCCACTGACACTGCGATAGAGGAGGCCACACACTTTTCCTTTCTCTTTCTTTCTTTTTTCCTGTCGCGCGATCTCTCTTCCTCCGTCGTCGGTCGCCCCTTAACAAAAGGCATAAAGGCGACGAAGCACTTTGGCAGCTCGTACGAAATCGATCGTCGATGACGAACGGGCGAGATTTCAATTCCCGGCATCGAGAGCTCGAGAAATTTTAATCGGGAGATGCGATCGTCGATTCGTGCAGTCGGTGCGAGACAATGCTTCGACATGCCGTCCTTTTTGCACGTAGTATGAATGAATCGCGAATCTAGATTCTCCATGTGTACTCTATATGCGTGCTATTTCATGTATATTTTCATATTTATAGCTAAGTATAAGGATTCGAGCATCACTTTTCAATTATGTAAATTATATATCATTCGAATCATTGCTTCATTGATTCGATTCGACTATAGATATATTCTACATTCTTATTCCTCGTTTTACTCAATTAATTTCCTCCGCATATTAATTGCGTTACGATACACATGGTCCTGATCATTTTCTATATACATTTGCGGACACGCGCTTTCTATTTTGGTCGCGATATGCATGTTTCAAGGACTCTCCGCGCGAAATCCTGACTCGTGCGTCAATAATCACGGCGCGGTCGTGGGTTGTCCTGGCGTAGGAGGAAAGTGCAGTCCTCTCGCCCGAGAAGGCAAGGTACAGCTTCTTTCGCGGATATATAGTTCGCCGGAATCGATACCGACACTTGTCTCTCTCTCTCTCTCTCTCTCTATCTATTTATCTTTCGTCTCCCTTCATCTCCGGAACGCGGCAAGGTGGCGCATAGAGTAACGATCGCGAGCCGCAGCCACGGCCCACCGCGCTCTACGTGCGAGAGAGGAATAAAACAGATCAATGATCGCGTAACGATATACGTAGTTGTACATTTCTCGACGACCGCGATCCGCACCATCTGCGCCATTGGAACCTTACACGTACATATACACACACAAGCGCTCGTCTCCCGTTCGACGTTCCTCGATTAGCGCTTAGCCGATCTAACGAGAGGTTCAAATAGTTTCATCAAAGATCTACGGCGCGCAAACCCGTATCCGTGATCGCATCGCGCAAATTGTACCGCGTGACGAGCTAATTTCGACGATAAAATAACAGAAGAAGAGAGAGAAAGACGTAGGGTGAAGATTAAGAATGGAGAAAGAAAAAAAAAAACTAAAAATACTCGCGCAGAAAAAAAGATGATTAGAGACACGAAGATGAGAGATAGCTAAAAGAGAGAGAGAGAGAGAGAGAGGGATTTAAATAAGGCAAAAATGCAAAATGAGAAAATGGAAACTTATACGACTCCGAATAAACACGTGCGAGAGAATACGATAATTTATGCAAGCTCGTGAAAGCTCCCATTGTTGCTCCAACGCGAGTTGTACTTTCGCATTAATCGGCGATTGATTTTTTAAATCGCGACGCAAGAGACCCACACATTAGCCATTCCAGCAGCGCAAAATGTCACGATGAGAACCG